TCTTTACGCTTTCAGAAATAGGTGCAGCATAAATAGCAAAAGTTGATCCTTCTTTTGCTGCGTGTATAAATGCTTTTGCACCTATAAGTGCGGATTTTACTATACTAGACTCATGGTTTTTTACTTGATTAATAGAACTGTTACTAATGCTCTGAGGAAAATCAAGTTTACGAGAAATCCAATCTATTCGAGGATTATACTTTTCTAACCATGATAAGCCTAAAATAACTGGATTAGAGGGAGATCTAATTATATTAAAAATTACGCAACTACTATGACCATTTATTACTACATCTACAGGAAGTGTTTCGTGAGTTACATCTCCAGAAGACAACGGACGACCATCTATGACTTCTACGTGTACAGGTTTAGTTTTTTGTATTAATGATATTCTATGACATCTAGCAAATTCTTCATCTAAAAAACAAGATGAGGCTCCTGAATCTACCAAGGCAGAGGCTTTGTAATTATTAGGTCCTAAACGCACATCTATTATAAAACAAGGAGATGGTTCTGAGGAGAGGATAGGACCTTCATTAGAAGTTGTACAAGATTCCAGCCGCACGGTCCCTATTGTAGCTGGACGTACTCGTTTTCCGACATACTGTCTTCTTTGACAGCCGTACTCCTCATTTTGTAGTTGCGTCGCTTCTTTGGACAATGTTGAGCAGTGTGCTTAGGTTCTCCACAATATAAGCACAATCCTTCTTGTCGACGACGAGACTTTTCTTGCTCAGTAAGAGGTTTGAAACGTACCGCATCAATTTGCATATCCTCTACTTCTGAAGGTATGTGTTGAGGAGACGTCGGTGTTGCTATTGAATTGTAGTAACATTGAGGCCCACTTGTGCGACTCTCGGATCGAAATTCAAAAAGTCGATTGTCGCACTTCACAGCAAAGTCAATTGCTTGACTCAATGTTTGAGGATCAGGTAAATTAAGCATCAATTTCTTTACCTCATATTGTAATCCGTAGAGAAATTGACTCACAAGTGCGGCATCATCCCACTTGATATCAGTTGCAAGTTGTCGAAATTGCGAAGCATATAATGTTACTGATCGATTGCCTTGTCGCAAAATACGGATCTTGTTGGTTGCAACACGAATTGCATCATGTTCTCCAAACATGGATCGAAACTCCGCCAAAAAAGCCTCCAGATTATCCAATATTGGATCTCGTCGTTCAAGAAAAGATGAAAACCATGACAATGCTGAACCTGAAAGAAGTGTACCAATGAATCTAACTTGTGACCCTGGAGTTGGATAGCTCTGGGATTGAAGTTCAATCACTAGTTGGACCTGATTGATGAATCCTCGAAACTTGGATCTGGTACCATCAAACTTCTCGGGCAAGGCAACTCTCGGTTCTCTAACACTCGAAGGGTGTCCATTCTGGGAGAAGGGACATGGTTTGGTGCAGATGTTGAAGCAGCCCCAATCATCTCTATATCTTCACTTCCTACCATTCTTGTTGCTCCTTGTGGTGGTAAATTGAGTTGATGCATCGCAAGCATTAACTCCCTCAATTGTTCTTGCATCTGTGCCATTGCACTCTTCATTTCAACAAGCTCTGCCATAGTAGCACTTAGAAAAGAGAAGATGTCTAATAACGCTCAAAATAGAAGAGAGGAATTGATAACAAAGAAAATACTAAGACAATATCAGTTTAAAAGAGGGTAATCCGCAACTTCTAATGCGCTTATGTCTTATCAAGAAAAAGGGGTAATCCACTCTTAATCAAGAAAAGACAAAGCTCTGATATTGTAAGTGTACTCTTGTCAATCTGTCAAGGACAAGAACTTGATGAAAGCTAAAGAGTAAGTGAGACTTTTCTCAAAAAGAAATAGGACAAAATAGAAATATGTATATTAAGAAAGAAACTGGAATGGCTATTGCCAAAATACAAGAAAACTAGAGACCCTTGAAACTAGACTAGAAGCAAGAAAGGAGTTGACAAGAGTGAAGAGGGCTTCACTCTTGCCTCTATATATACTATCTAACTAGAAGCCACGTGGCGATGTTCTATAAGACCTCCAATATATGTTGACTTTCTAGGCCACATGCCTTTGCTTGCAAGGCAAGTTTTCTATGGATGGACCACGTAGTTAGCTTGTTCTTTAAGCTTCCAACATGTGTGGCACATGGCTAACTTGTTGACCAAGTTTCTAACCTAAAAGTCAACTATAGACTCCTATAAAGTCAAAGCAGCGTCTATGAAGCTTCTAAGAAGCTTCTCTAGAAGATATTACACAATTAACCTATTTTTATCTACTTTTACATACTTTTATCTATTCATATAGGTAATTATATGTATGTCCGTGACATTATGTGAGTTCAAATTGGTTGGAGTAAAGTCTGTTATTTCTGGTGTTAGAAGAAATTATGTGTTTTGAGCTGTCTTTTGAGAGTGCAGGGTTGCATATTATTGTTATCAGTTGATGAAGGAGTATTGTTATTGAGAGAAAGCATTGTAATGTTTCTTGGTGTTTTAGTGGTTTGGAATACAGTTAATTGTGTAACCCTAACAAGTAAAACTCATGCACTTAGTCTTTCCCTGTGTTCGAATTCTCCTATACATGTTTATTCTGAAAATAATTGTAGAATAAGTAAAACGACAATCATACTTTTAAAAAACTTAAAATTTATATTCATTTTTATCTATTTATAACTAATTAAGTCTACTGCAACTAAAAAATTAAAATCCTTTTGTATATCAAAAACATACCAAACATCAATTAAAATTCTTCCATTTATATTATGACTTTTAAAACAAACAATGCCATTTTCATATTTATATATGTTGTATTATTTTTTTATTAAATTAATTCTAATTTTATATAAAATTAAGTATAAAACCAATTCTTTCATGGATATATATAAAATAAGTAATCAAAATCAAAGATCTATGTATCTTAAAATTTATTATTTTATATATTTTCAATAAATATATTTTTATTTTTTTGAATATATAATTTTAATTATTTTAGAATATTATTATTATGATTAATATTACTATAATATTTTAAAATTAAATTTTCTTGTAATGTACTAATTATCAAAATTTATAATACTTGATCTTTGATTTATCAAATCTATCTCTAAATTTTGATTAAAATTTTTCAATATTATGACTATCATTGAACTTTTTCTATAAATACTTAAATATTAGAAGTAACAAAGATAATAGCAATAAAGCTTTAGTTTCATCTATTAATTTGATATTTATATTTTTCAATTAATAAAAGATCTTGCTAAAGATAAATAAATAACTCAAAACCTTTGCATTCTCCTTTATCTACAATGTCTATAATTATTTCTTTAAGAAAGGTTGATTTATTAAAGATTTTGTTATTTATATACTTCATAGTTATTTTCTAAAGCTTTGGTATTAACTTTCTATCTATTATATTATATAATATTTTATTTAGAACACTAAAAATAATTATATTCATATCTCCTAGGTTAATTTCTTCCCTCCATATTATTTTAAGGTGCATATTCTTTTTCCAAATATTATTGCAATCTTAATTGTACAAGTAGATCTTTTAACTTTTAAAATGAAAAATTTATTCTTGTTAAATGTTTTTACTCCGAATTTTGTATTTAAGATCTTTGCCACCATTGAGTCACTTTGCATTATAATAAAATTCTAACATCTTTGCATTATAATAAAATTCTAACATAAGACTAGAAAAACACATCAAGCATGCTTATTTCAAGATTTAAAATAGAATATCCTATAAACAAATATAAGTTTGTTTTTTTAAAATATTTTAATTGATAAATTTACAATACTAATCAATTATATAAAATTTACATGAGTAAATCTACTCTATTTGAAAAGAAGATTTAAAAATATATAAAATAAAGAAAATATTTATTTAATAATTTAGTGATTAAACTAATAATTTAATCCTAAAATATCAATCTATGAAAATCATCTTATAATATGAATTTGTTTTATTTTAATAATCTATAATATAAATCAAATAAAAACAAGATGTTATTGGATAAGATATGGGCATATCTTCCTTTTTATATAATAATGAGATATATAGAAAACTATTCATACATTATGTAATAAATCACAAATCTTCCAAAGAGTTAAAATAAAAACAAAATGCAAAAGAAGAATGATAAAAGTATAATAATATATAAAATTAAATTTAAAGAATATTAAAAATCTAATGTACATAAAAAATAAAAAAAATTATATACTTTTCATACCAATAAAAAAACAAAGAAAGAATCAAATCAAGGATAATTTGGAAGATGCATAAAAATTTGTATTTTTTGAAGATTTTTTTATTGTAGGAATAAAATCACCCAAAATCCAAATATTTGAAATCTAAAATTAATTAAAAAAACACAAGAATAAAGTCAACTCAAAAAATTACTTTAGATTCTATTCAAGCTTTTAGAAAATATCAAATTAAATCTTTTAAGAAATTTAATGCAGTGAAAAATACGTATATATATATAAAATAAAAAATTATTAAAAACTCACACCCCATCAGTCCAGATTCCATTAAAAATGACTATTATTAGGTCAAAAGTATTAACATATGTCAGCCCATCTCCTAAAAAGCAAAGTCGATAGGTTGGACGATGGAACTAAGCCAGTAATGGCATACACGACAGGCAGGTGTGATGCAGTGCACACCAAACACTAGACATTTGAGCCAGCTACACAAAATTCATTGCCTGACCGAGGGAACATTCCGGGCACATTATAGGCTTCAAGAATCATTCAAGATTTCGTCAAGATAATGTTCCGCTGCGACTGCTGGTCACACAGCCATCACTCAAATTCACCCACTCGAACATCCAGTTTCTTGCTTCGCCCACCGGTCGCCAGAGTGACAAGGCACATTACAATCGAAAATATAATAAATAGAACAAATCCACCAATGAAATCAACTCCGACCACTCCACAACAACCTCGCCCGATGCGGACCCCGGCCTGAAGAACTCATGCCATGCACCACCGAATGGAAACAAATGTTTGGGGAAGGAGCAGCTGGAGCGGCGACCGGCAATCGCCAGTAGAGGATAGCATCCGAAGGATGGAAGGCGGAGTTAAGAGGTGTGAGGCCTTATGACTTGTCCGTTTCTCTCATCTCGCAGCTCCCATCTCATCTCTCTTCATATCCACCCCTGCTGCTCGTGGTGCGCGTTTGCGTTTGCGTTGTCTCCCGGATTCTCATCCCTTGCAGTAGCGCGCAGGTGTCACTTGTGCTCCGTCTGGCACCATGGCCGCCCCCGCTGGTAAGTACTTCCGCTCGAAATGTGTGGCTTGGTTGGGTGGTGGCGTGCGGGTCGTTGGGGGAGTTGGGGGTCGTGTTTGGTGCGAGGAGGGGAGCTGGGTTGAGGTCTGGAATCGTGGAGAGTGTTTGTGGCCGGGATGGTGTCGCCGGTGGTCCCGCCCCGTGCACCGGGTGTGCCACAACGACTGGGATCCTACGGTCTCCGGGCGCTTGTGGTATGTTTGATGGGGCGGAGGAGGCAAAGGCGGTGGCTGAGAGAGGTCTTCCGGTGCGCATCAGGGTTGTCGCGGGCAGTGTTTGCGGATGAGGCGTCGTGCGGAGGGTTGGTTAGTGAATCTGCGCGAGCTATTTTGACCGGGTGCGAGGAGTTGTGATCGGTCGATGGTGCGGCGAACGCGCGCTGCGCAGCGCAGCGGTTGTGTGCGAATCTTGGGGAGGTGGGTTTGTGTAGCGGAAAGGGAGAATGAAAGCGCCGCGCGATTCCACCGGTGGAAGGCGAGCGTGTGGTCGTTTGTGAGGATCGGAGGTCGTGGCTAGGTCTCGCAAGATTTCTTTGTTCGTGGGTGCCCGTGACTGGTTGGGGGGGGGGGGGAGGGGGCTGGCGAAGAGCGCATCTTTAGTGGTAGGATCAGCAGCAGCGGTGGGCGGAACCGGGCGGGTGGTTCCGCCCAGCGTAATTGCGCAATGGAGTGTGACGTGTGCAGCACGGTCGCGTGGGGTGGCCGGACCCATGTTAGCAGTGATGCGTTAGTCCTTCAACGTGGGTGCAGAAATCTAGCTGAGTCGGGAATTCGGGAGCAGTTGCGGTGAGCGAGGGCGAGGATTAGGTCAGTGGTGGGGAGGATGCGGTATGGTGAGGGGAGGGGGCAAATTGTCCATCGCGGTGTCGAAGTGGTGCAAATTTAGGGCATGTGGACGCGGAGGGGTTATCTCCGTGTCGGTGTGCGAGGTCGTTGGTGGCTACAGCAGAGCTGGCATGGGAGAGAGATGATGGTGACGATGATGATTGCGGGGAGGGGTGGTCGGTGGACATGGCATTAGTTTGATGGATTGTGGGTTGCAGATAAGGTTGGAGATGTGGAAGAGAAGAAGGCTCCGGCCGCGGCGGGTGCTGAGGAGAAAGCTGCGGGCGCATCGGGCGCTGGAGTCGGTGGCGAGGAGGGAGGAGCCAACCCATTCGATTTTTCAGCCATGTCTGGGCTGTTGAACGTACGTCCCATCCTACTGCACCTTGCTGTCGCGTGTTTGTGGTGGGGTTGACGGCCGTGGCCGTGGTGTCGAGGGAGGGTCGTCCTCCGTTGTGGTCGCACAGTCCCTGGTTGTGGGATGGTGATGTTGTCGGTGGCAGTCAGGGGTCAGCATGACAGGGCGCGTTAATGTGAGACGGGGGATTGTGAGGCCGGTTGTGGAGTCCGAAGCTTGGGAGTCGTGGAGTGGACAGGGGTGCGGGGTGTGTGTTGGGCTGGGCATGGGCATGGGCATGGTTTTGTGGCGGGCATCAGAGCCGCACAATGTGGTTGCGAGGGTGTGGACGGAGGCGTAGTGAGCGAGTTTAGCAGGGATGGAAGCGATGCGCGGAACGAGATGTGGGATCCGGCATGGACAGGAGTGCGACGCGTCCGTGGTGAGAAGAGTGGGAACGAAACACGGAATGGCGCACGGGTGTCATGTAGGGGATTGCAGGAGAGGTTGAAGTCGTTGGGTGGTGTGTGGGGTGCACTGTTGAGCTGAAGTCAGGAGCCAGTGGGTTGACAACGACGATGCTCATGGAATGACGAATTATTCGTGACGAGGCATCGAGGGGGGGACTGGAGGCTAGAGTTGCTTGTCGAGGAACGTGCGGGTTGCCGGAACACGGTTGCTCATATCGCTGCCGCTGCCGAGCGCTTGGACGGTGTGGACATGTGTACTGAGTCCACGTTAGGAGTTGGCAATGGAATTGTGAAGGAGACGTGGTGGTGGTGGTGTGTTGACGCAGGCGTTGTGCCGTTTCCGTGTGATGCGGTTTGTTCGTGAGGGGGTGATGGGACGTATTTTGGAAGTGGGCAACGCGTTGCTGACAGTGTGTGTGTGGTGGTGTTCAGGATCCCAGCATCAAGGAGATGGCGGAGCAGATCGCTAAAGATCCCGCATTCACCCAGATGGCCCAGCAGCTGCAGAGCAGCGTGCAGAGTGCTGGAAGCGGGGGGGCTCCCCAGTTGGACCCGAACCAGTACATCAACGCGATGCAACAAGTGATGCAAAATCCTCAGTTCATGACCATGGCAGAACGGCTCGGCAACGCCCTGATGCAGGTGCGGTAGCGTTCGTTGGGTGGGGTGGTTGGTGGAGCAGGGAAGGGGGTAGGAAGTGTATACGGATGTGTGCGGTTAGAGTGGTGGCGTAGGTGAAAGGTGGTAGTAGAGGAGGGGCTCGGGCATGGTAGGTATGCGAGGGGGACGGGGCCCGGCGGCACGTTTTGTGAGTGGTCTTGTAGGGGGATGTCCAGTGCATGGTGGTAGTCCTCGGAGACCTTTGGGGGCGTGTCCGTCCTTGAGTGAGATGAATGGTAGCGAATGGGAGATTGCTG